ACAGAAGCACATCACCACCACAAAAGTTTGGGGGCTAATACTCACAAACCATTCTTTGAGAAAATGACCCCGATTCCTCATGAATTCTGAAGGAACACTTCTGCTAAATGATCATTGATAATTTTACATTTCTCTGTCTCATCATCATTTCTCTAGGTATATGACAGAATGCCTCATACTTTCTTACTTTTTGTATTCCACAACGTTAATACTCGTGTTTCTTTACTCTATTTTGAGGAAAAAGAATTCCCCCCCCTGTTTGCAACTTATCATTAAAACGGTCTATTCAAAAGAGGATTATTGAGGAGCGATGCTGTGTGAATCCCAAAGAACGACTGAAGGAGACAAGAAGCAAAGCAAGTGAAAAACTTCTCACATTTACCTGCTGATTCAGTTGCTTTAGGAGCGTCACTTTTAGAGCCTCCTCCTCGTGAAGCTGATCTTGGTTGGTAAATGGCTCGATCAGGACGATCCTAAGATAAACCAATAATAGTTTTGTCGCACGTGAATAGAAATAATAATAATGATAAAAAAAGAATGACATAGGCAATAAATTTTTAAAGTGACGGCCAGGAATCCCTCTGGGGACAGACTAAATGAGAGTTTTCAGTGGCAGCATGTCAAGAACAGATTCTTCACTGGTGATTACTCAGTCTTAATTTTTCTGTATCCAAACCGAATAACAGCAAACCGAATAACAGAGTCCAAGATGATTTCAAAGAGACTTGGAATGAACAACTCACAAGGAACTGTGTTGGCACTGGGCTCCTCCGAAAAAAGCCATTTACGTTCCTCATGCAAGTGTTTATCAGAGTCACGCGCGAAGCGACGAAAACAAAAAGGCACATGACGACCTGAATAAAATTTATGGACGTGAAAATGTGGCCACGCAAATCAAACTAGAATGTGAGCAAACAATCTGAAAACTGCAAAACTGCACATGAGATTTCTGAACTCAGCTATTTAACACTTATTTACCTTGTTTCGTAATCGTCGTTGCCGAATGATTTCCTCTTCGCTTCGCGCTTTCTCTTCCTTAGCAGCCCCCCTCTCTCTCTCTCTGGAGGGTTTGGCATCACCTGCTTCTGAGTTATCTTCCTCCTTTCTATTTTTCTCTGTTTCATTTTCCTTTGACGTGGCATTAATCTGTTCCTTCTCTTTCTCTCCACCACTTTTCCCGCCCTTGTCAGCATTGGCTGCTTTAGGTAAGGGTTCCCTTCCTTTCGGCTTATCTTCGGGTTCTCGAGCTGGTCGCGAATCCCTTCGACTCTCCGGTCTTCGATCGCGTCGCCCGCTTCCGTCACTCCCGCTTTCCTTTCGGGAGCGATCATCACGTCCACGATCGCTTCCCGAACTATCACCTGTATCTCTTCGATCTCTACGATTACTATTTCGTCTGTCTTCTGGTCGTCTGTCGTCGGAGCGTCGGCTGTCGGGACGCCTTCCGAATCTTCCTGATTCAGGTCGACCCTAAAGAAATCAATAAAAATTACGGAATTCACATCTTATTTGCATCTTTTTTTGTGTGCTATAA